TTCTTGTGCATTATTTAAAATAGGAGACTCACTACTGCTGACCCCTGTTCTCCTCCCCCCACCCCTCTTTCTAGAAAATTGGCTCTTTGAATTTCAAGTGAAGTTCTTCCCCTACAATATCGAATCGATTGCAGAAGATCTGACCCGCTACTTCCTTTGCTTACAAGTTCGACAGAACCTCCTCAGTGGACAGTAAGTTCTGTTTACTTATCATTACTTCTGATGAAGCATCAGTAAGAAAATGGGAGGGGGGTGGGGTGGGGGACGTTGAAGGTACTTGGGGAGCAAATTTATGTGCTCTCTCTAGAAGCACATTTTAGTATAATTGAGAATTTGAACGTGAGTATTTCATATTTTCACATAATTCTTATTAACTAGTTAGTATCGCATTTTTGGACTTGAGGTGAGCGACTCACCAACGCGACTCTCATCTCATTTTTTCTTTTGCGAAGACTCGAGGATACCGAGGTGTCGCACGTATAATTTCACCTTTTTTTACGCCTTCACCTTCCAATTATGGCTAATGTTTTGCTGATGCAATGAATGAAATTAGTGGTGGTTGGATGCATGATCAACTCTCTTTAGGTGCTGAGATTTGGAGGTACCTATTTCGGGTAGATGGAATTTCAAATGTGTGTTTTTTCCATGAAGACAAATGTTTCGGTAAGGTTTCCCGAAGCAATTTTTTAGCAAGTAATTTGACTCGTATTTCTCTTCTGCTATGCTAGCTTTACGCCAAAAAATTCTGTGCGGCGTTCAACATCTTACTGTAGGTAGTTTTAGTTAATCTGTGGAGAATAATCAGTTTGATGGATGCTCCGAATAGCATCTTAGAATTGGTCTATACGTGTGTTCAGATTTTGAACTACTCATTTCGTAGATCGGATTTCAGTAGCATTTTTCCAAAGTAATTATCAATACTGCGAAGAATTACTCATAAAATCCGTCTCGGGGCCTTGAGTTGATCAATCGGTCTGATTTCTCTCTCTCCCTGCCTCTCTCGAAGGGGAAAGTCACGCTGGTTTTGAAAAATGCCTTATTGCCAATGAGTGAGAAAGTGACGCGTGCGCACGTGCTTCCATTGCTGCTCTTGGCCTTGGCAATAAGTCAGGCGGCCTCCCATTCGTCCGTTTGAGCAGATTTAGAGTAAAAAAACAAACGAATGATTTCGATTGGTGGATTGAGATTGTTCGATGAGTAAAAACTGACCAGAATTCACAGCAATAGGATGAGTCAAATTTACAGTTTTATTTCCTCTGAAAAATTTATTTTGTGGTAAATCAGAATTGAAGGAAATGGGCTGCAGTCGATGGGTTTATAAAGTCTCAATCAATGCAAATTGAAATGGCTGGTTAGAAGAACTTGTGGAATTTCTAGATCTACTTTCAGCGGTGATGTAAATTTTAGTGGGCGTCATTGTAATGCAAATACGTAGATTTTACAGTTCTTTTTCAGCGTGATTTAAACTGTTGCCTATCCGAGCGTCATCGTCAAATCTGACGAATTAAGGTCAATTCTAGTCTGTCTTCAGACTTTTGGTGGAATATATTGAATTTTAATGAATATTAAGTGGTGATTTTGTCAATTTGTTGGTGAAGAGTTCTATTCCTGGGCAACGCATTCACATACGACAAAAAAGTCTATAAACCGGCAGTTGACTTCTGACTTCAAACTATCATGGCCCCACTGTATGTCATATTCGACTACTTCACAGTACTCACCTTACCTTTATCTCTACCCTTTTGACTGCCTCTTTTACATATTTGAAACACTCTTATGTCCCCCCTCCCCCCTCTCTCGATTTTTTCACTTTGATGTTCCTTCCCCTCTGTGAAGCCTGAAGTCAACTAAAGGGCTAATGATAACTATCAAGATGCCTACCACTTGGTATAAATAAATATTTTCATTAGTCCATAGTGCATAGCAAAATATATGTACAAACATAGACTTCCTAATTGTTTTACTATTTCGACCATCAGAGAAAGTTGAGTTATCAACTGGGAGATAGGGATAAATTTTGTTAAATCATAGTTGGCTTCTTCTTTCAGACGTAGATTTGACCCGGACAAAAATTAAAACGGAAATAATATCAAAAAGTAGTGCCTTTTACAAAACAAACCAGAAATGACCTAACCTTACCTACTCATACCTCAAAATAACATTAACCTGTCATATAAACATCATACTGAGGTAGAAGTCAGCTTTTTGCAATAAATTTATTCTCATCTCGCAAGCAATAAGGTGGAATCTATGGCACCGCCAATCTTCCATCAATCAAGAGTTTATTAACAGAGCATTGGTATACGATACCTCCACCCCCACTCCCAAAAAAATGTCATCATTGCATTCAGAGCGGTGTTATCTCAAGTGCAATCAACACTACCCACATGAGAAGAAAGATATAAAGAGAATACAGAAGATGCCACAACTTACTTGACGTTCAATTTGTTGTTTCGACTCGGCTTCAGAAGCGCTGAGAGCAAGAGCTAATTGCAAGTCTTCCTCTTCCTTCAAACGCAACTCTTTGTCTTTCGCTGCTTTCGCAGCGGCTTCCTTTTGATACTGCTTCTGTCTAAGCCTTTCAGCTTCTCTCTGCTGTTGTTGCTGTGTCGTCGTATTCGAGTGAAACTAAAACGAAAATGCACATATTACTCATAATAGCAATTTAATTACAACGCCAATGTAGTTTACGTAAATATTAGCTGGAATGAAATTGAATAGTTAGAAGGGACGCTTTTGACGGCATGGTGTTTAAGCGCTTATCAATTACCAAATCTGCGAATGAGTAACTTCCCCTCTAAATTAAATAGGGTATCAATTTTAAAAGCGTTATTGGAGGCAACATAGAGATTAGAAATTGCGCTTATTTTAAAAGGAGCAGTTAGTACGACTACCTTAAGATAATCTCGTAAAGTTGAATGCTATAATAGAGAATGTTTATCACAAAAAAGGGAATTCAATAAATAAAGATTTCAAATTTTAGACAAACCTTCGGTTTTTCTCTACGAGCCGCTCCATTACTACCACTTGCAGACAATCTAAAATAAAAAGGCAAAAAAAAAACATTTGTAAATAAGTTCAAAGTACTTGGCTCTCCCAAAGAACATCATGAGATATAATAGCGCTAGGTGTAGTATAAGCCTAACTAATAGTGTTGCTATGAGCAACCCTCTGTTACTGAGTTGGGACTTATTCTATTGGACGAAACATTGCTAAAGCGACAATGATCTACGTTAGACAAAAGCAAAATGAATGCTATAAGAAAGCGCAGTTCTTGCCTCTTAAACATGGTGAATGCTAGTGAAATGGTGAAATATGTGATAAACGCAACTCAAGCCACAGTTATCTTGAGGCAGCCAATAAGCTAAAAACCTCACAAATATCCAAGAAGGATACGACGAATCAGGTCAAGCTGCGCCTTTTATCACGAGACAAAGCAAATAACATGTGACACCTAACTGTGATTGGAATACGGTAAAAGACCTATCTAAACATTCAAAGGTGCAGTGTATTACTTACACTTTTAGTTCAACGAGACATGCATCGCATACTCTAACCTCCTTTTCGATGCCATATTTGGGAAGACCTGCTCTACCCGTTGTGCAATCACCACAGAAAACATTCCCACAGTTACGACAATGGTGCTAAAATAGCAAACAAAAGTACGGAACAAACGGTAAGAAAACTAAGTCACATCGAATCATATAAAGCAATCAAACCAACCTTCCTTCGAAATGTTGTAAAGGCGGTTTTACAACGGAAGCACTCTTCCCCATC